TAAATCATAAACATTAGTAATTCTGAAATTGTAAACTTCATCTACTTCATCAATTCCTTCTTTTGAATCTTCAATTTTTGAGGGTTTTTTTCTTCATATGGCCAATATCACAGTATTATTGAGGCATTCGGTTCATGTAACTCTTAAATCGAATTCGGGATCAATATCACATGTATCTCGCGAGTAATGATACATGTATCTGGACAAAATATTTGAAATTTTAAGATACAAGCATTTCGGTTCATGGATATATCTCTGAAATTGAATATGAAAATTATAGAAGGAAATAAGTTACACCCTTTAATTCAAAGTAAAAAATTATGTATCTCGACTTTTAAAATCGATGGAATCAAATTCGGGTTCAATATCACATGTATCTCTGATTGGATATATATATCTCGCGAGTAATGATATATGACGTATCTCAAGGATGAAATATTTGAAACTTTAAGATACAAAGGAAGAAATTGATGAAGAAGATGAAGTTTACAATACGCTGATACATGAAAATAATGAAAATCACAGTGTTGTTGTGTATCTCTGAAATGGATATATGTATCTCGCGAGTAATGATATATGACGTATCTCAAGGATGAAATATTTGAAACTTTAAGATACAAAGGAAGAAATTGATGAAGAAGATGAAGTTTACAATACTCAAATACATGAAAGTGATGAGAATCACAGTATTGTTGAGGCGTTCGGGTTCTTGGATCTCCGAAACGAATATGAAAATTATAGAGGGAAATAAGTTACACCCTTTAATCCAAAGTAAAAAATTGTGTATCTCGACTTTTAAAATCGATGAATACACGTATCCTGCGAGTAAAATATCAATTTCAAAACTCCAGGGACGCCATGAACCTTGACTGAAGTTTTGTACTTGGCACGCTTAACCACCTTACCATCGGCCATAATGGTTGTTCAAAAAATCAAGTAATTTCTGTAATACATCAACAAAAAAAAAAATGGATATTACAAATTCTTCTATTGGGGATCTATCTAATCCAAGAATTCAAATTCAGCAATGACACCAATTTTTCTCCAAAGCTAGGGAAAATATAGAGTCGGAAAATGGGATTGAGATACAACTATTTATGGACTAGGAAGATCTAGGGTTCCGATGGATGGGGTTTAGAAGAGAAGGGGGTGAGATACAAAAGAAATTTTTTAATTGTTAGTATCCTATTGATTAAGGAGATTAGACTTTAAGATAATTACTCATTGTCATATTTAAGGGATTTGTGTATCTGATTTAAAGTTTTTAAAATATATGGTATGATTATTACAAAGTGGTATTAGATGTAATTTTTTTAAATTAGAGGTAAAATATGTATATATGATAGTGAAGTATGTCTTATTAAGTAGTTTTTCCATAAATATACTCTTCAACTTTATAATTTAGAGAAATATACCATAAGTAAAAAATAGTGCATATATATCTTTACCGTCTAATTAATGGTGCAGTGAAGTAGTAATAAAAAAAGGATGAGATAATTTTTAAAACTAATTGATATTTTCAAAATTTAAAAACTAAAGTTTAAGATTTTTTTTTAATTCAATAACCTATTTCTCCTTCACCATCCCCATTTTTTAAATAAATAAATAAAATAACAATATATATACTCACCACTTTTTAAACATTTTTATAACATAAGTATATGCTCTATATCACAAAATTAAAGAGTATATGTTCTCCTTTTCCCATAATACAATAGTACTACTTCTTTTGTTGTAAAGGGCTTCCCTGCCTTACCCTAGAGCCGCCGTTGCCTCCTCCGTTGTCCGCCGCCCTTCCTGAAGAACCTGGTGTTATCTTTTTCTCCTCAGCCATTTCCTCTCTACAATCGAAGAAAGTATCCATTTTTCTCAATGTCTTTGCTGGAAGTTATCACCAAAGCTTCCATTGAAAATTCTCCAACCACCTCCGATGGTGATTTCTCTATTGTTCTCAACTCCGAACCAGCTCTGCTTCAACTGAAACCCGAAAAGGAGGAGAGCGATGATATTTCGCTACTCAAGCGAGGAACTGGGTGGAGCCTTTTATCAACTGATGTTGAAGTGATTGAGTCAGGACAAAAGTTCTTCAAAAATTTGAAGAAGATGATGAAAAACCCTAACACATTCAATAAAGAAGAATTCTTTGAGGTGTTGGTTTCCTATATGACGGGAATCTGGGATATATTTGGGATTTCAGTTAGTCCTGATAAGGTGGATGAGGATAATATTGTAAAAATGATTGAAAAGCTGGGTAGTTTTATGGGTAGAGATGTTAAGGGTTTGGTTTTGGAGGCTTGTGTTGTTTTAGAGACTTGGGAGATCTTGGAGAGTATGATTGTTAATGGCATTGTTGATCATTCAGGCATATCAAGTTTGATAAATAACCTAATTGAAAAGAAACAATCTTGGTTGGTTGTTTTGTGTGTAAAGCATGTATTAGATATTCAAACTTATGATATGATGTGTGTGTTGAAATATTTTCTTTCCCTTTCCAAAAATGGGGATAGTACTTTGATTAATGTGAGGAGGGAATGGGAGAGTCAAGCAATGTCTGCAATTGAGAAGGCAAAGGATGTGAGCCTCGGTCCGGTCAGGATGGATATAGCTAGGGATGCTTCATTATTGCTTATGCTAGCACATGATGGGTTCTCAGTTTCTGAAATGTGTTTGCATTATTTGCTTGCATCGAGGAATGTTGATGAAGTTATTTTGGGTGCTTGCATTAGTAAATTAACTGGTTCAGAGATAATGGTTTTGATTCGGTACTTGCAAAAGTGGTTGAATAAATATGAGAGGTTTCCTCAGGTGTGTCCTTGTCCTAAGGCACCATTTGAATTGGGGTTGAAGGCTTGTGAATGGGTTCCTTCACTCGAGGACATAGTTAAGTGCCTTGGTTTGGTTGTGGATGAGCATTTCTCTTCTTTGGTTTTACATCAAGAGTTTCATGAGGAATTGAAATCTTTAGAAGAAGTTGTCAATTCTTTAACTGCAGAAGCAAAAATATGTGGCATCTTGTCAAATGTGACCGAGGCATTGAAAATCAAAACACAAAGGTTTGTGATTGAACTTGAAACTTGCTGTATTATCACTTATTTTTCTTGTTCCAAGTTCTTCGTGGAATTAATTCTTAAATTTGATCTGTGGTATCCTAAGTTCATTTTTTAGGAATGCCCTAAAGTAGGTTTAAGTATTAAACATATCCCTAAGTTCATTTTTCCAGGAGGATGTCCAATGATCTGTATACATGTTTTTCAGTTCTTAAATTTGTGTAGCAGAACTCACATAACGTAGTGTTAATATTGAAGATGGTAACTCATTTATAGTTGTTGCTGCTGATATCCCTGTAAACATCTGTTTCCCTTTATTAATAAAAAAAGATAACATGGGATAAATATTGGATGTGGATTGTGGTCCATTCATAGATTTTGAATTGCTCGAAAAGATGGTAAAATTGCTAATCTTTGGATGATGATAACTTGACCATTCATAGATATTGAATAGCTTGGAAAGATGGTAAAATTGCTAATCTTTGAATGATGAGAACTTGACCATTCATAGATATTGACTAGCTTAGTGGTGAAATTGCTAATTTTGGGATGATGTGAGCTTGAATCTGGAACCTTCCATAGCCATATTGAATCACACAGATTAGTGAGTATGATAGAGATAGGGCGTGTGTGCCATTCAAATGCAACCCAAAGTAAATAGAACCACTATGGTATGTAATGTACTTGTGCCTTAGGATTATTCATGTTTAATAGCTTTATTAAGTTATAAGTTATATATGGATTCTGTGGAATAGGTGCATGCCACAGGTGTGAACCCTTTTGCCAGCATAAAGTATGGTTTTCAAGTGGAAAATGGTAGTAAGGCGGGCCCACTATCTGTGAATTTGGAGCTGTGTGGCGATAGCGCTCGTGGATTTCTTGTTTATAAAAAAAATTAAGTTATTTGATGAATTATAGGTTGTAGAGATAAAAATTATCCATCCTTCTAAGTATATAACATACTAGAGTACCTTGAAATTCCAATTTTCTTCCTTTCCAATTAATGGGGAATTGCCTATGCTGGAGAGCCCCATTCTGCAATGTTGGACAACAACCAATCACTTTATGTAATGGTACTTTCAAGACAATCAAGAATGAGATAGAAATCATCAAATATAATCTGGAACCACTATTGCTGGCAACTTAGATATGCCTGCTTAGCTCTTGTATTACTGCCATCGTTGTGTCTGTCGACATTCCTCTTATCAAATACCACCATCTCCCCTTCCTCCCTCTGTGCTAACACTTTTTTTGCCTGTGCTGCTTGGAAGTACCACCAATATTTATTTTTGGCCACCACCAGGTAAAATGTCCTCCTGTGCGTCTCCGCATGTATTTATATGCTTAGTCTAAACGAATAATATTGATGGAAGGTTGTCAAATGGAAGATGAAACAGACTTGTGCTTTCACAGTTGGGTTTGGTAATTTGGCTACTGTTGGTTTAGTCTCTTTCCCCTCTGTGGGAATGAAAACTGTGACTATTCACAATATCGTTGTATAGTAAGTTTATGGGTAATAGGATATTGACTGTTAATTTTTTCATGGCTATTTGTAGGTTATGTGTTTGGGTAGATTTCCTTTCTTTCTCCTGTTGACAAGTTTATGCATTATTTTAAATTAAATTCAGTTTTGAAGTTCTCAAATGCACTGAAGCTGAACTCTATTGACAATTTTATCTATTTATATAAGTAAACTTTTGACATCATCAAGATCCCCTATTTATGCAAATAGGTATCCCGTCTCTCTGGTCATGCTAAAAATTTATTCCTTTGTGACTCTCGTCAATATATGAATTGGATAATACTTTACCAATGTTCAAAAAAAAATATATGAATTGGATAATCTTTTCCTTTCATTATCTTACTTTTCCCCAGTCATCCTACCAAGGGGTCTAAGGATATTGACAAACAGTGAAGTACATGATTGATGGATGAACTTGAATGCCTTCACTCTATTTTAAAATTAAGAAGCATAACTCTATTGCTCAATTCTTTTGGTTTTCAAGCTCTCGGAAGTTCTCTAGATAGAATGCAGTTCTTTGATACTCAAGTATGTTGCAGGCTGGCTGGCGATGTAGCATGAGGCTGATATCTCCTGGTTTCAGTTTATGCTGAATATGCAGTTGGAGAGTCTGACAAGTTCAACCGCGTCACATTCTATTGGACTAATGGGTAAATGAGATCTATGGTGTTGATTGCATTTGTTGTGAGTAAACTGATTTAGAGCTTCCATTCTCTTGGCTTTACAACACGAGACACAGAGAAAGAATGCAGACTTGTCTTTTCATTTATTTAAAGTATACGCGATAATATATTTATTGGGCAAGTGTTCAAGCCCATGTTTTCTGTACTCTAAGCTAGTTAAGCCTCTGCTGAGTATATCACTGTATTAGATTATTACTCTTTGAATATGGTTTTGATTAGTTTAAAAAATAGCATTGAAAAAAACTAAATAGAACAAACAGGCGTGCTTCCGTTTTGTCGTTTTGGAATGCATGTCTTGCAGTTGACAATTGACACGGTGACAATTTGTAAACTAGTTTTTGCAGTAGATTTTAATTAACTTGGTCATGTTAATCCTTTTCTTAATACCTGTGTTAATCCAAGCACTTTGATTTTTTGGGGTGTTTAATATGACGGAGAAATGTACTTAACTCTTGCATAGTAAACTAATTTGGTTTAGGAATGAACCCAAAATAGTTTTTGAAATTTGCTTTTACCCTTTCAATGTAATCTTTTTACCTAAATTTTTGTTATCCTTAACGAATTCTTTCCAAAAAAATCTTGCAATAATAACGGCTCCCCTAAATATTCTCTTTCGAATTTGGATATAATAACGCAGATTGCGGTGAAAAAGATGCGCTAAAACAAGAATATTAGTAAGTTTACATTGTAAATTTTTGTCTTCCACTTATTCATATGATGATATGATAATTACCAATTAAAAAATCCATGAAAATTACGTAAACACCATCCAATATCTCTGGATAAAACAGTAGACCAACAGTTGACCGTTAAGAGGGAAAACGGTTCCCCACTTTTCCCTCACTGTTTCTCATTCTCATTTCCTCTCCCTTTTACTTTTATTTAAACAAAAACTCAGAATATTTTCTAAGTAAAGAGAGAAAAGAATGTGTTTACAAATAAAGCTACCTATAATTGAAAAATGGTAACTCTCAAAAATAGGTTGAGTTTCTTTGTAATTTTGTGCACACTAGTTTTTAGCATTGAGGCTAATATTGGAGAGTTTGATGAGGTGTGGAGGACTCGAGCCACCCAAGCAAATAAAAATGCTAAAGAATCCTATAACCCTCATCCTGAAAAAGTTGCAGCTAATTTGAACAAACATGTTCACAGGTATTTCCTCTCACATTTTTTGAACACCTTTTGCCACTGGTTACACTAGAAGCTTTCATTACAACGATGAGATTCAATAATATATATATATATATATGTACGCGTAAAAGGATCACCTAAGCAAGTTTTTTCATGGTACATCTTATTTTGATTTGAAGGTCGGAAGAAGGTAGCAATAGCACAAGAAGGGACTTGCACAAGTACAATGGTCCATGTGTGGCTACTAACCCTATTGATCGTTGCTGGAGATGTGACCCACATTGGGCTAAAAATCGCCAGAAGCTAGCAGATTGTGTTCTTGGATTTGGCCACCATACGACTGGTGGCAAAGGTGGCAAAATCTACATAGTAACTGACCCTGGGGACAACGATATGGTGAATCCTAAGCCAGGGACACTGCGCCATGCAGTCATTCAGCCAGGGCCACTATGGATCATATTTGCACATCACATGGTCATTAAGCTTAACCAAGAACTTATCATGACAGGCGACAAGACAATTGATGCCAGAGGACAACAAGTGCATATTACTGGTGGTGCTAGTTTGATGTTACAGTACATAAACAATGTGATTATTCATGGTCTTCATATCCATGATATAAAGTCTGGTAATGGTGGACTAATTAGAGACTCGATCAATCATTATGGTTTTCGAACAAGAAGTGATGGTGATGGTATTTCAATCTTTGGATCAACAAACATTTGGATTGATCATGTTTCCATGTCTAATTGTGATGATGGACTCATTGATGCTGTGCAGGCTTCAACTGCTATTACCATTTCCAACTGCCATTTCACCCACCATAATGACGTAAATTAGCTCCAAAACTGGATTTATGCTTAAATTCAATATACTGACAACATTTTCTACCAGAGACTGCAAACAGCCAGAGTGTTTTAATATCTGCAATATGTTTTTGTTTAGGTTATGTTGTTTGGAGCAAGTGACAGCTACAAACAGGACGCAATCCTACAAATAACACTTGCTTTTAATCACTTTGGCCAAGGGCTGATCCAGAGGATGCCAAGAGTGAGATGGGGATTTGTTCATGCTGTCAACAATGACTATACTCACTGGATTATGTATGCCATTGGTGGAAGTCAACACCCTACCATCCTCAGCCAGGGCAATCGTTTCATCGCTCCGCCTAACCCTAACGCTAAAGAGGTAAACAAGATCAACAATATCTATAACCAACAAGGTTGCACCACAATCTTGTGTTCATGAAAAGAATGAATAAATCAAGAATACTACACATGACTAACTCTTGTTGAAGATACATGCTCATTCTCATTTACCTTTTATTGTAGGTGACCAAAAGGGATTATTCACCTGAGAGTGTGTGGAAGAATTGGGTGTGGAGATCACAGGGAGATCTGATGATGAATGGAGCCTTCTTCGTGGAATCTGGAAATCGCAATCATAAATTCATGACGGGTCCTGATATGATCCACCCCAGGGCAGGATCAGACGCGGGCAGGCTAACAAGATTTTCAGGCTCTTTGAACTGCATTGAGGGGAAGCCTTGTTAGAGCTTGTCAATAGGACTTGAAACTATAGAAAGTCAGTTTGCTCCCTTTCTCCTCTCACATGCAACGCTGGTAAGTAGAAGGGGAGAATGAGTGTGAGCTAAGATGGAAAAACTTTTAGGTTTTTGATGCTCTGTGCTTCTGTAAATTCTTGACACAATGTCCTTTTTCCTTCTATCAATGTAAAAAAGTGACAAATCAAATAAAACTGCAATGTGAATTGATATAGCTATTTTTCATGATCACACATTGGGAACAACAAGGTGTTCTTGTAAAAGATAGATATTACTCTTCTACAACACAAACATGAAGGTTTTCTGTATTTTGTCACCAATATCCCTAGTTTTGGAATCAGATGTTCCACTAACAAAAAAAGTATATACATCTGTACAAGGTAATCATTTATACAAATTTTCTACTTCTTGTGTTATGTCAATGGAAGGGCATAATTGCTTGCTAAGGCAACTACTGATTACATAAATATTGAACAAACAATAAGAATGAAAATTTGGGTGTTGATTTCTCTTGCATTTTGCTAACTAAAGCTGGAAGCTAAATCGTATATCTGATTTGCTATCAAAAGCTGAAGATAACGGTATTATATCATATGATTGACGTACGTCATCTCTCCTCCAAGAAAATGTCATCTCACTAAATTGCCAAAAATGTTAATCAATCAGTGTAAGATCTGTAAAGAGTTGCTCACACAAAAATAATTAGAGTAGCTTGTAAGTGGCAAAATCAAAGTGATCAAACAAATGAATTATCCAAAACAATGAGTAAAATCATAAATATTTGGATTATTTTTCATCCCCAAAATTACATATGACAGGTTGATGATATTTGCATACAAAGAATGTGAAAAGATGGCAATATAATTTTCTCCCCCCCTCCACAAATTAATTTCAGAAACCACAATTGCTTTCACAAAGAGAGGTGTAGACAAACTAAATATGATACGGCAGGCATGACAAACCTTTCTGATTCTGATTGATAATCCTATTTTGTCCTCTAGTCAAAAGAGGTGCCTCAAGTTTCATCAATTTGGTGAACTGCAGGAGACGATAGAAAGATGCAGCAGAAAAAAAGATTATGTTGTCATTGCTGTCAGAGGGTAGAGGAGCTCTTCACACTCTAGATAATAAAAGACCTGTCTAATAGCATAGAAAATAATTATTAAAGATACCTGTGAAGTCTTTAGCTCTAGCTCTTCCCATTCTAGAGATGAATCACTTCCTTCCACTATCCCAGTTCCCGCATAAATTAATGCACCAAGACCCTAGTTATTACATTTCATCAGCACGCCATATATAAAATATGTATCACTGGAAAGCCTTATGCAGAAAGTAAACAAATGATGCATTTTGTGCTTATATCCAATCTCAGATTTGTTGTAAGTGCCAAAGTCAAGTAAGACTGGATTCCTAAAAGGAATTCTAAAAATGAAGTCAGAAGCATATAAAATTGATCCCATAAATGTTACAAAAAAATTATTTGATGTTAATCTTATAAGATTTTGAATATATTAAATATGCGTGCAATAAAATTTGGATTAGAAATTAGTTAAGACAGAAAATTGGTTTTTTCCCTAACATATGAAGCAATAAACATGGAACTTATCTTTATTTTTGAGGTAACGGTAACTAAAAATAGGAAACTTATCTAGTTTATTGATACTTAATAATAAAATAAATTTGGACAGAAAACTAAACTATCATACAAGTTTTTATGTGGATGAGCCTCTTTTTTTGATCAGTAGACCTCAAGTCTTAAATAATTACCCTCTCATAAAAATATTCATCATGTGCTTTTTAATTCTTATTTTTTTAAAATTCCAACAGCTAATTCTTACTATACTGTGGAGCACATGCATGCAAACTAGTTTTGCAAAGTTGCAAGAGATGTACTCCAGAATGAAGGTGAAGTGCTATGAAGTATTAACCTCACCTTTTCAACCAAAGCTGACCTTATTCCAACAGCAAATTCACTCTCTTCTCCTCCAAACCAACCAACAGGACCAGCATACATTCCTCGGTCAAACATTTCTGGGAAACATCAGCTGGTTAGAACTCATATACCAGAACACAAGGTTCAAGAAGCCATTGAGTTGATTATTCTGTCTGTATGAAGACATTGCATAAAATGATAATACTCTCTCACAGTTACGCATTAATTAAAGGCTTATTGTAATGACTAATCACAGCATTTCCAAGTACCAGTGCCCAGGCTTCATATGGAAGCCTAGGGTTGATACAGATAAGCATTTTGTAGCAAGAGGAATCTGGCTTTCCATAAGTGGGTTGCGATAATAAGTGGACAATGTGATCCTTTAGCTACAAGCCTACAATTTTCCATTATTTTTTTATTCTCTCAACCAAGATAAGTATCTATCTATCATTTTGGTGTGCACAAAGAGCTAGCTAGTTCAAGAATAGAGTCAAACATGCAAAGGTATACCAACTAGCACATACCCGTTTCTGAAATAAAAGCCCGTGCATCTTCTGTAGGATACCCACAAACTGCTGGAGTAGGGTGCACGGACGACAAAATCTTAAACTGGAAAACTGTAGATGCTTAGTGTGGTGCTTTATAGAAGGAACAGAGGAAGCAATAAATTGACCTATACATATCATCAGCACATCTTTATGGATAATAGAGATTCAAAATTATAGTTTTTGCCAACTAAAGTGAGTATGAACTAAT